CTTCAGGGCTGGGTAGTTATTATTTACTATTAGTATTCTCCCAAGCTGTCAGTTCCATGGCTCTATATTTGGTATCCTGAACTGAAACATGTTTCAAGGACCTTAACAATTATTTTAAGCAGATTATATATATATATATATGCATTCAGTAAAATAATCAGAAGGGTAGTTTCTATACATCCAAACTAATGAGCCTCAGGTAGTCTTGATCATGAGATTGCTTCTGATGTATATTTTTTTAAATAAAGAAAACTCTTCTCTTTGTAAGTGTGTCTCATGTTTAGGAAAATTAACTCGCATGCTAATATATTATGTTGACATTCTGAAGTGTGTATTATATTGAATAGGTTAGGTTTTGGAGAATTTGGAGAATTTTATATCTTATTAGTCATGAAAGAATAATATCTATTTTTCTGTTAAATAGTGCAGTGAAAGAGAAAAACCACAGACAATGAGTCTGGTGATATTTTGCAAACTGTGTTCCACTCCACCTATCTCATTAAAACAATTTAAATGATAGTTCATTGTTTCTTCTCAAAGACTGATCACTGCTTTCCTACTACTAGTTTTCCAGGACACCATCATTGTCCAAAATATTATTCAGCACCATTAATTTCACAAATACTTGCCATATGGTTCCCTAATCACAGTGTATTTTAATTAAAACTTGTATAGGGGCAAATTTAGGACTGGCTGATGGGGCAAGTAAAGGACTGCCACATTTTACATTGAGGATTTTTCTTCTAAAGAAAACTACCCCAATAAAGAGAGTATGATATTTCTTTTCTATTTTCACATCATCCAGACTTAAGAACATCTTTTTATTAGTTCAGACTATAAAACACTTTAGGAAAATGCAACAGTGTGCGTGCATAAGTGAAAGAGGGATGTAGGAAGCCCTCAGTTTTACAATGCGATGTGTTCATAGAGACACAAGTTCTTTATTGGGCCTCAGAGTCATGTGCAGAATGAATAAAAGGTGACTGGATACCAGAGAGTGGCATGATGTATCATGTGGAAGTTAATACAAACTGACTATTATGTCTCAAAAACTTTGAATTGTGTATCCTAAAACTGAGCATGTCCTAACATATCAGCTGTAGATATTCGCCTTCTATGAGAACTTGTACAACACAGAAGCACAAGGCTTAATGTACCAGAGCACAGAAGCCATAAGTTCCTTTCTAAGGTACTCTACTTGAGCAACACCTAGCGTTTAGTGTCATACTCTTTTCTAAATGTTATAGTGAAATATCAAGTTAAAGACTTTTAAAAAGCCAGAAAAATAGAACAGAAAGTAATTGGTATGAAAGTTGTAATCAAAACGTTTTAACATATGGTGGAGCTTAAGGAGAGAAGGGAATAAGACAGATCAATATTTAAGACACAGAAAACCAGAAGTATTTGTTCCAAATTAGTGTATTATACATAAGCAGAAATTTGTGTCTTTCTTGATACTCTTATTTAAAAGTTAAAGAAGGAAGGAAGCCCTACCAAAAGATACTATTCTTAATGAATCCTCTGAAATGTTTAACTAAAGAATGACAGAAAATCTACACATGTATTTTAAAAAATGTAAAGAGAGAGATTATGACTTCCAGATTCTTCTGAGGCAATTATAATGTGTACTCCAAACTGGGATGAGAGTATCAAGGAAAATAAGATCATTATGGTTCCATAAAATTGATTACAAAATCAAAACCAAAAAAGAAATATTAATAAATCTAATCTGTTGATATATTCAAACATATATGCAAGCATTTGTTTATTTCTTTGAGTTTAACTTGGTCATTAAGTTCATTTTACATGAAAAAATCACAGAAAATGATTCACTATATTAACACAAAAGGAGAAAATAATAATTTATATCATAACAATAATTGACAATTGATAATCATAATCTAGGTTTCTAAGAAAGATATTTGTCTAAATTTCATGTTAATAAATCTATTAAGGTAGAGATAGAAAATAATTTCCTTAGTTTGTTTTAAAAACTATAATAAATATCAATCTTAGTTCTAAAATATTAATGTTTTCCCAGAGACAGGAAAAGAAAATTTTCTACAGATATCACTGAGAAGAACAGAAAGATTGGAAGGAAAGAAACAATGCTTTCTTATTATTCACAGATAGTATTTGTGAAGTACCAGTAAATGCAAAATACTCTGAAGAGAAGTCCTGAGAACCAACAGGTTAACTCTTCAGGCTAAGTACATGCATTTCTACCCAAAACACAAGTGTAAATAGAAGCTAACATTTCAGCCTAAGTGTAGAGGCATAAAAATTACAGAATAAGAACTAATGAAAGATTTGCAAGACTTTTACACTTAAAATTTCGAAGATGGCTGAGAGATATTTAATAGCAACCAATTCAAGCAAGGGATTCACTATGTGAATTAGAACACTTATTTTAAAAGTGTTATTACTCCAAATTGTCTCATAAATTAAGCTTAAGATTTTGTAAAAATTGAATACTTCTTTTAAGTTTTAATGTAGGCATACAAATATCAAAAAGGTCACAGCTGTTTGAAGTAAAATTGGTCTAAACCTGTTGGGCTGACACTATTCTACAACAAAGTTTCACATAAAATTGTAATAATTCAAGAAAATATTAGATTAAGGCAAGGGTAGAAAAATATTGTCCAGCGGAACTGAACAAAAAGACCCCAAACAGCCTCAGAGAGACACATTACACTGTATGACAAAGGCAGATCTAAGGTGCAGGGATGATGCTTTATCCAGTAAATGATTGAGTGAACCATATAATTATATAAGTTGTATTCCTTGATCACCCATAAAAATACATTCTACATAGATTCTATATCCAAATATAAAAAATGAGGCCATCAACCTTTGAAAGATTTCATATAATAGTGTCATTGATTATATTAGCAAATGTGGCAGTTACATATTTATAGGCCCTTAGCTTTGAACAAGGTCTTCATTGTCTCCTCTGCAAGAATGGAACCAGACACAATGCACATTTTTTACCTGTACAAGTAGCATGATATTTATCTTGAACAGTAGAGGATGCTGTAGGGACACTTAGAGGAGATACTCTGAAGTACTTGTTTGGATTTTCTTGTTTTCACTATGCACATAGCAGAAGAAAGTATGGGAGATATTTAGTGATGCTCATCCCATCAAATTTCAGCAGTATCCCTAGTAAAACTCTTTCTTAATCTTACAGTTATTTGACCAGTTAACTTCACAGCCATAGCTTACCTGTAACAAAAAGATGTGTCTCCATTTTATCAGTCCATGCCATGATTTCGTGTCTATCTGTACTGCAACAAATGTAAACTTCCTTCATTCTGAACTATTTCTCTGCCTGCCAACTTCAGCATATCTGCATCTTGGAGGAAACTTCTTGCTTCTTAACTCTGAAAGAGGATTTGTGTTGCTAGCACTGGCCCACCTCTTCCCCCTGGGGATTTTCTTTCCTGGCCAAGGCAACTGAATGTACTATTTTGGCATCCAGTGAGCTGAATGTGCAAATTCTCCAGTAAATTCTCAGCTTTTCACTTGAGGAAGACCTCTCCCTTCTTCCAAACTTACTTCTTCCTAAAATAGCCTCCCCCAAATCTAGAGTACATATAAAGTTATTTTTACACTCTTTTTTATTTTAAAAAATAAAAGAAGGAAAACATATTAACAGACACACATCCATTTACAAAATAGCCTAAGGAC